TTCTCAAACTCGTTCACAAAGCTCCTGCGGTTTCAAGAAAAAGTTACCGAGTTTGCTGATGACCAGGTGCGAGCGGTTGTTGTCGAAATACTCAGCAAAACAGACTACGTGTTGCGCACATGGTGCTCAACCCGGAAACAGTGCCTCAGCCGAAGGTGTAGCCCAGCTATTGCATGTCTTGGCCCCTGGCTCACATTGTACTTTCGTAAAGTCTCGTCCAGCGTATTTCCCATCTGAGTAAGGGGTAGTTGAATCATATGTTCAACCGAATATATTCGGACTCCGTTTATACATGATATTGTGAGTGCTCAGTGCGGATACCGTCCTCGCTCCGCAGCGCTGTGTGCTCGCTCCCACTGTGCTTCTTCATGCCACGACCACGGTCATTAAACGAGTCTGTCTGAAAAAATGAATTTTCGAAGCCATAATAGATTAGTTGTTTCAGACAAAAGCACGAAAACGTCTGTTCGGTAGCTTTTTATTGAATAGCCGATGCTCAGGCGAAGAACAGACCCCATCTCGGTAACGTTTCACAGTACGCCTTGTATTTCAACCCTTCTTCGAGTTGGCATTTCTCAAAACTCGTTCTACAAAACTCCTGCGGTTTCGAGAAAAAGTTACGGAGTTTGCTGGTGACCAGGTGCGAGCGATTGTTGTCGAAATACTCAGCAAAACAGGCTACGTGTTGCGCACATGGTGCTTAACCCGGAAACAGTGCCTCAGCCGAAGGTGTAGCCCAGCTACTGCATGTCTTGGCCCCTGGCTCACATTGTACTTTCGTAAAGTCTCGTCCAGCGTATTTCCCATCTGAGTAAGGGGTAGTTGAATCATATGTTGAAGTAAATACATTCGGACTCCGCTTATACTTGATGTAGTGAGTGCTCAGTGCGAATACCGTCCTCGCTCCGCAGCGCTGTGTGCTCGCTCCCACTGTGCTTCTTCATGCCACGACCACGGTCATTAAACGAGTCTGTCTGAAAAAATGAATTTTCGAAGCCATAATAGATTAGTTGTTTCAGACAAAAGCAGGAAAACGTCTGTTCGGTAGCTTTTTATTGAATAGCCGATGCTCAGGCGAAGAACAGACCCCATCTCGGTAACGTTTCACAGTACGCCTTGTATTTCAACCCTTCTTCGAGTTGGCATTTCTCAAAACTCGTTCTACAAAACTCCTGCGGTTTCGAGAAAAAGTTACGGAGTTTGCTGGTGACCAGGTGCGAGCGATTGTTGTCGAAATACTCAGCAAAACAGGCTACGTGTTGCGCACATGGTGCTCAACCCGGAAACAGTGCCTCAGCCGAAGGTGTAGCCCAGCTACTGCATGTCTTGGCCCCTGGCTCACATTGTACTTTCGTAAAGTCTCGTCCAGCGTATTTCCCATCTGAGTAAGGGGTAGTTGAATCATATGTTGAAGTAAATACATTCGGACTCCGCTTATACTTGATGTAGTGAGTGCTCAGTGCGAATACCGTCCTCGCTTCGCAGCGCTGTGTATTCGCTCCCACTCAGGGTGTCGGAAAAGGGGTTCCAAAACGGCGGAAAGTTTCGAAGGAAACTTTTCGGGAATTTTTCCGAAAGTTTCGGAAAGTTTCACAATTAGCGGGGAGGGGATATTCGCGTAATTAAGAGCAAATGCGTTGACACAATTCATTCTTGCAAGCCTCTGTGGGCATCATATTGCATTTGAGAACTTCCTGTTTGCTAAACTACTACGAACTTTGCCGAGGATAGTGTTGATCATATATGCGAGTGAATTCATATACCGGCGACCGTCAACAGTAACTCGTTCGATTACTCCATTATGCTGGATTATGACGCCAGTGGCGCCGCGCTGCACATGACGGGATTCTAGATCATCGTGTCCCATCCCAAGCTTAGTTTTGGAGGACTACTCCGTTTGAAATCAGTAGACTTCCTCTGGAAAGGCCTTGAAGTGGGAGCTTCCATTCAAACTTTCATTAGAAAAATTCTACACTGTAGAAGTTGGGATGGCTCAGTGTAGAATATACATTGAGCGGCTCATTTTGAGCCAATCATCAGCTGACAATGGCAATGTCATTGCCACTCCATGTTGGATCAGACTCCCTGACTGTCTCGCCTGACTAGGGTCCGCGATAGACCGCCCACCTATGGCAGTCATGCTGAAGAATCTAGTGTAAAATAATCATTCTCTAAGAGGTCTGGCTAAATCGAGATTGTCCGCCCAGTACGTGAGTTCTCAACATGAAGCGAGGTATTTCCTTCACTCGAGGCATGGTGGGTAAGAGTAGCTAATCTACTCTTCTATTCTAACCATCGTGAGGCTGTATGAAATGAATGAAAGGTTTTTAACATCTAAAATGCACACTAAGCAAAAGTTTCCTGAAAAATTTCACTCGCGGAAAAATTTGGAAACTTTCGCGGAAAATTTTCCCGAAAGTTTCTGTGGAAAGTTTCTCAGACACCCTGCTCCCACTGTGCTTCTTCCTGCCACGACCACGGTCATTAAACGAATCTGTCTCGAAAAATGAGTTTCCAACACTATAACAGATTAGTTGTGTCAGAAGATAACACGAAAACCTCTGTTCGTTAGCTTTTCGTTGAATAGCCGATGCTCAGGTGAAGAACAGACCTCGTCCCGGTAACGTTTTACAGCACGCCTTGTATTTCAACCCTTCTTCGAGTTGGCATTTCTCAAAACTCGTTCCACAAAGCTCCTGCGGTTTCAAGAAAAAGTTACCGAGTTTGCCGATGACCAGGTGCGAGCGGTTGTTGTCGAAATACTCAGCAAAACAGACTACGTGTTGCGCACATGGTGCTCAACCCGGAAACAGTGCCTCAGCCGAAGGTGTAGCCCAGCTACTGCATGTCTTGGCCCCTGGCTCACATTGTACTTTCGTAAAGTCTTTCCCAGCGTATTTCCCATCTGAGTAAGGGGTAGTTGAATCATATGCTGAAGCTAATATATTCGGACTCCGTTTATACATGATATTGTGAGTGCTCAGTGCGGATACCGTCCTCGCTCCGCAGCGCTGTGTGCTCGCTCCCACTGTGCTTCTTCATGCCACGACCACGGTCATTAAACGAGTCTGTCTGAAAAAATGAATTTTCGAAGCCATAATAGATTAGTTGTTTCAGACAAAAGCACGAAAACGTCTGTTCGGTAGCTTTTTATTGAATAGCCGATGCTCAGGCGAAGAACAGACCCCATCTCGGTAACGTTTCACAGTACGCCTTGTATTTCAACCCTTCTTCGAGTTGGCATTTCTCAAAACTCGTTCTACAAAACTCCTGCGGTTTCGAGAAAAAGTTACGGAGTTTGCTGGTGACCAGGTGCGAGCGATTGTTGTCGAAATACTCAGCAAAACAGGCTACGTGTTGCGCACATGGTGCTCAACCCGGAAACAGTGCCTCAGCCGAAGGTGTAGCCCAGCTACTGCATGTCTTGGCCCCTGGCTCACATTGTACTTTCGTAAAGTCTCGTCCAGCGTATTTCCCATCTGAGTAAGGGGTAGTTGAATCATATGTTGAAGTAAATACATTCGGACTCCGCTTATACTTGATGTAGTGAGTGCTCAGTGCGAATACCGTCCTCGCTTCGCAGCGCTGTGTATTCGCTCCCACTGTGCTTCTTCCTGCCACGACCACGGTCATTAAACGAATCTGTCTCGAAAAATGAGTTTCCAACACTATAACAGATTAGTTGTGTCAGAAGATAACACGAAAACCTCTGTTCGTTAGCTTTTCGTTGAATAGCCGATGCTCAGGTGAAGAACAGACCTCGTCCCGGTAACGTTTTACAGCACGCCTTGTATTTCAACCCTTCTTCGAGTTGGCATTTCTCAAAACTCGTTCCACAAAGCTCCTGCGGTTTCAAGAAAAAGTTACCGAGTTTGCTGATGACCAGGTGCGAGCGGTTGTTGTCGAAATACTCAGCAAAACAGACTACGTGTTGCGCACATGGTGCTCAACCCGGAAACAGTGCCTCAGCCGAAGGTGTAGCCCAGCTACTGCATGTCTTGGCCCCTGGCTCACATTGTACTTTCGTAAAGTCTCGTCCAGCGTATTTCCCATCTGAGTAAGGGGTAGTTGAATCATATGTTCAACCGAATATATTCGGACTCCGTTTATACATGATATTGTGAGTGCTCAGTGCGGATACCGTCCTCGCTCCGCAGCGCTGTGTGCTCGCTCCCACTGTGCTTCTTCATGCCACGACCACGGTCATTAAACGAGTCTGTCTGAAAAAATGAATTTTCGAAGCCATAATAGATTAGTTGTTTCAGACAAAAGCACGAAAACGTCTGTTCGGTAGCTTTTTATTGAATAGCCGATGCTCAGGCGAAGAACAGACCCCATCTCGGTAACGTTTCACAGTACGCCTTGTATTTCAACCCTTCTTCGAGTTGGCATTTCTCAAAAC